CTCACGGATGCCAGCAGCTGTCGACTTCAAACACCAAGCTGTGTCCAGATATTCACTGAGATTTTTCATCATATACTCCACATCAACATCTGGAGGCTCCATTCCTCCCTTCTCAGTAGTCAGCCTTGCAGAAACATTAATTCTACTGCCAAATTTCCTAGATAAGGCCATGTTTGATGGAACAACCACAGATTATGAGCTGTAAACTCTGTTTTTTCCTGAACAGTAAACAGCTGTTTTTTTCCCCGAACAGTAAAATGGAAAAACTCTTGCAAGAAAATGCTGTTTCTATCCCATTACAGCAACGGAAAAACTTCTTTATAATCGACTTATCTTTTTTTGAGCTCACAACAAATACAGATATCTCACAATTAGTTACGTTCACTTCTTCTTCATCAAACAACTGTCTGATTGGGTGTTTGAGCAGGGGAGAGGCTATTTTCAACCTTCAGCCAAAGACAGGAATAAGATCTTGCCTCCGTTGATTTGCGCGCTTAATTGTTGTCTTCAGTCATCCAGCATTAATTAGTCTCTCGGCCTTGTCTCTCACCGATCCTGTTCGTGACGCCAACTGATAGATTTCTTCAATGAAACCTTTGAATGATGAGGCAGGTTCCTTAAGCTTAAGCAGTTTATTAAGACAGAATGAAGATGTTACAGAAAGATATTTCACACGGCCGGTTCAGTGTCTGTCTGTGTCTGTCTCTGCCCCCACTAAGGGAAGCAGGCCCTTTATCTATGATCTTCATACAGACTCCTGGAGCCAGGGGGTCAGATGGCCTTGGTGAGAGTACGTTGTATGTTGTGGAAAAGTTGTCACTGGACCTCGTTATTAAACGTGCAAAATATCTTTGAAATAGTTAATATTTTCAGGTTCCACAACGCGATCAAAGTTTTCACCTGTCACATCAATGGACAATATACACTATCCATTATCTATACTCATCGGTGTTGTGTTTGTGCACTTTCACAACATGATAATCACTACAAAATACCAATGTTCAGGTAACGCAGATTTTTACTGGGTATCAGCCATACACATACATTACATCGCTCTGCAGCTCTACATGCATTACAATTAATCACCTATCACATCAATGCACAGATCCATGGTACGTATCATCCTTATCATAACGCAATGTAAAATTGTTCCTCAGTGCCACCAAAATGAAAAGTATTAAGCATGACAATCAAAATGGTTAGATACACTATATTACCAAAAATATTGGGACACCTCCCAATATTTTTGGTAAGACCCAGATGGATAAAGCGGTATAGATACTGGCAATATACACTCACCTAAAGGATTATTAGGAACACCGGTTCAATTTCTCATTAATGCAATTATCTAATCAACCAATCACATGGCAGTTGCTTCAATGCATTTAGGGGTGTG